AAAAAAAAAAAAAAAAAAACGACTCCGAACCTCGCAGTCTTTATTGACAGATTTTACTTGAACCTTGAAATTAAGTGACAAAATTCTCCAGCCCCCACTTCGTCTGCCTCTGGGCTTTACCCAGAAGGCTCACAGGGTCACTGAATGAATGAAAACCCCGAGTTTTCTGAAAACCCCCAGAACCTTTTTCTGTTCCTGGTGAACAATTATTCAGAACCCTAACTTCAAGGGGCCCACTGGGACTGTCACCCAGCCTGCATCGTTTTCAGGGACCTTACCTCTTGTACAGAAGCTGCTGTCGGATGGGCCTGGGGAGAAAGCGGATCAGCGTGTGCTTCTTCAGAGGGTCGTTCAGAAACTCCTCAAGGTTGTCTACCTAAGAGGTCATTTTCAAGATCAGCTTACCCTCAAGGCCAGGGTCAATTGCAAGAACCGTGAAAAAACACACACCACTCCTTTCCGGGCAGCAGTCTCTCTGAACCTATTGTCTCCTTTTTTGGTATTTACCAAATTTCTAGAAGCATATTGCTACAACATAATTATTTGTCTCTTTCGATATATCTAATTGATCTAACTTTAAGTCTTTCAAGTATTTCCTTTGACACACCAAGCAACCATCCATCTATCCAGCCAATAATTTATCTATGTGTATCCAGCCACCGTGTTTATCCTATCTATCTGTCTATCTACCCACCCACCCATCCATCCATCCAATCATTCTCCATCACCTACCTATCTACCTGTCTGCCTATCTACCCACCCATTCATCTAATCTATCCATCCATCCATCCCATCTCTCCATCCATCCATCTCATCTCCATCTATCCCTCTTCCCTCCATGCCTCCCTCCCTTTCTACCTTCCTTCCACCCGCTCATCCATCCACCCAACCATCCACCCATCCAATCCATCCATCCAATCCATCCATCCATCCATCCATCCATCCATCCATCCATCCATCCAGACAACCACAAGTCTGGAAGTACTTTTTCCCTTGACCAGGTGAGTGTAGGTCCTCTGGTCTAGGCTGAGGGACCAGCCCCCACAATAGCCCTGGGAGTCATCAGTACCTTATAACTGACTTGCACAATCTGAATGAAGATGGAAAGGGGCAGGCAGAGGAGAATGTCACTGACGAGAGCCCAGCCGAAGCCAAAGTCCTTATGGACAGGGATGGGAGGGACATAGCGCATCCATGAGGCTTCATCCACATACACTAGGAGAGAATCAGAGTCAGTGCTGCAGGCAGGGTGCCAGACATGATGGTGACATCATGCCGGTAGGTCCGGATTCCCTCTCACCACAAACTCGGGCAAAACCCTACTTGTCAGGCAGGAGGCCCATGGGTTCACAGAGTCTAGATTATGACTCTACTTTGATGGGGCGCTGTGGGGATTCAGCCAGTTCAGATGAGAAGGATGAGGAACCATTAGGACCCCCCTCCAGAGGGCAACAGCTCACCTTTCTCCGTGGGGGGCTCCACTTCAGTCTCCAGGAAGGTTCCCCCTAGGCTGTCCTTGGGCAGGGCATCAGAGGAGGTCTCCATGTAATTTCTGGAGAAGGGCCGGACTCCCATCCTGCCTGACTCCTGCTTTCCCATTCTTCTTTCACTGCCAAGGCCCAGCTTTGTCCGCACATGGCTGGCAGGGTGCCCATAGATTAGGTACCACAGAAACATGTGTACCACCCGCAGGCGAGGCATTTTGGGCAGAAATCCTAGAGAACGGCCAAGTCCTGGAACTGAGGCAAGAGGGGGTGGGGGGAGGGAATGCTTGAAAACTCCCAGATTCACTTCAGTTCAGTCCACTCAAACTCACGGTGAGCGCTGTTCAGACTCTCACAGAACTTACTTTCTAATACTTTTTAGGTATTAACAAGATACCTAAAGTCACACGACAGATGGAAACGGCCGGTGCAGAGAACCAGTGGGGACGTGGGGGGAGGGCTAGAATTCCACCTAGAGGGCAAATAAGGTGGTGGTGGTGGGGACACGCAGGGACTTGGGGATGTGCACCCTGGGACAAACACAAGGTGCCGGAGGTAAGCGTGTGCCCGGCACATACCGTGGAGGGCCAGAGGCCGGGGGGATGGGGGGGGGAGCAAGGAAGGAGGAGAGTGCAGTGAGCGAGCCAGAGTGTGACAGAGGAGGATACCGCCACACAGAGCCTGACAGGCCTCCGCACGGGGACCTGGGCTTGACAGGGCTGTGCAAAACACCCCCACATCGGGGTTCTTTGAAAGCATCCTGTTTCTTTGTTGACACAAATAAAGTACTCCTTGGCTTTTCCCAAGGAGAGAGGACAGGAGAGAAAGTAAGGAGCCACAGGATCAGGGAGCGAAGGCGAGCGGGCAGAGGCCCTCCTCCACTGCCGTGCCCACTCAAGCAGCATGCTCACTGCCTTCTGTGTGGCCAGCGCGTGGGCCGATCTGCTGCCCCGGCACTGGCCCCGGCCCTGGGCTCCCACGGACTGCGGTTGCTAACCACGGAACACCCCGGGACCCGCAGAGCAAGGGCAGGCCTCCTGCGGTGATGTGGCTCACCGAGGGAGGTCACACACACACACGCTGTCCTCTGCCCCGGGATCTCAGGTCTGCTGCGCTGCGCCCACACCGGGCCACGGCCCGTGCCCCATGAGCCGGGAGAAGAGTGACGCGTACCTGGCCGCCTGCCCTGGGCCCGCACCCTTTCACACTAGGGCGGCTCGATGGGGGCCGAGGGAGGAGGCAACCCTGTCGGAGAACGGACTCTGGGAAAATGACACGGTGTTCAAACTCATCAGTGACTAGATCTACCAGAAGGTCTATGGGGTCGGGAGGGACGGAGGTTTTCTGTGGTTTATGTGGTTCGTATCCCAGCCCAAGGATGCGGAGCAGAATGAATCTTTGTGCCCAACTCCTCTCGCTAGGATCTAGCACAGTTTCATCTGAGTCTCATGCTCAGACGTGAGGCCCACTGGGCAGAGACCATGCCCATTTTGCAGATGGGGGTATTGACGGCAGCAGAAGTCACGTGGCCAGCCCTACATGACCCAGTTAGCCACGCAAACCTGATTCCTCGGACTCTAGCCGAGTGCTAGACTGCAGAACACCAAGTGACTCAAACGCCATCATGCAGCCAGCCACCAACCACCGACACACCATCAGACGTCGACGAGAAGCTGCTTTTTACCTACAACGGGGTGATAATTTTTCAGCTGGGTGATGCCCATTTTCTCATCCGTTTTTTTCACCCGAGCAGTTTCTGATTTGGAGGAAGTATTCAGTTGAGAGTCTCCTGATCCGCTCGGACCCTCTTTTTCTGGACTTTCTTCTTCAGCTTCTGCTTGCGGCGCTGGGGGCTGGACCACTTTAACCCTGCAGTTCAAATAGAAGATCAATACCCTGCTGGGAGGACCAAGAGCTGGGAGAAAGGACAGGGTCTGCCCTGGCAGATCAGATGAAGCCACTTGGCCCTGGAGTTTCAACCTTGGCTGCCCGCAGGAGCCAAGCAGATGCTGTGCATGAATAAAATGTGTCAGGTCACGAGATGTTTGGGGACAACAAGGGCTGTGGAGACCTGCAGAGTGTGCCCTCACCTCCAGGACAGCCTTCTGAGGAAGGCGGCCCAACGTGCGGGTCCTCTGACGCTTTCAGAAATGCCAGAGGTAACGGATTTGATGGGAAATCAATCAGCAGCCAGTTCAAAGTACGTGAGCCAAGGTCCGCAATCCACGTGGAGCCCTCTGCCTGCCCATCGGCCATCTCCAGGTTAAAGCCGGCTAAGAATTTTCTCCCATCCCCGAGTTTTCTCAGTCCGCGAGACACTTCACAAGATTAGAGAAGGCCTCAGAGAGGCCACTGGACTCATTTGGAGCCATTAGGGGACTGAGCAAGCCTCGCACACACAGGGCCTATGGTTCGGAGTGCTCTGTCGATGCCGCGAGGCAGAGTCGAACAAACGAAATGAGGACTTTGTTTTTTCTGAAAACTCAAGAAATTGCTCCTAAGCCCGTGAGTGTGTTGATCTCACATGAGTGCGAATAAAGGGTACTCGTGAAAGCTGCTCCAGGAAGGCCACAGAGACCCAGGCGGCTTCCCTGTGAATTCCCGCGGGGCGCTGCGACTTGCCTGTTTGCCATGCTGGAGTTGGAGATCCGGAAGCGCACCTGCTCGATGGCACTCCTCACGAGCGGGTCATTCTGGTCCATGGATGGGTGCACGACCAGGTCCACCTGCAGAGAGGGCGGAGCAGCGTCCCACAGGGCAGGGGGGGAGCCGGGGGACACGGAGCTCTACGGCTCGGTTCCTTGCCGGAACACTGGCTGTGCCTGCTTTCACTAACACTTCCAAGAGACACGTGTAAGCCCGGAGCAAAAGGTGTTGCTGAACGGTCTGCCATGACAATTTCTGGCATCAAAATCCCTCCTCCAGCGACCGAGCGAGAGAGCTCTGTCATCGGTGACGTGCCGCTCTGCTCAGGTGAGGACTTTCTGGCCTGGAGCCGGAGCGACCCGCCCTGCAGTCCCCTGGTGGGGCTGTCCCGGCCCGGGGGGCCTCCGCAGCTACCTGGTGGCCCGCTCCTGACGCCCCCCTCCAGCTATCTGAGAATTTCCCACAGTTGTTCGTGAATCCTGAGGCCTCCCATCTGGAAAAGGTAAGCAGCTTTCATTAATCTCCCCTCGCCGAGAGTGCCACCGTGGGACTCCTGCCAGGCGCACTTGGAAACCGACTGGCAGAGGGTTTACAGCTGCTTTCGCTATTTTACCTCTGCCAAGGTACTGGAGCTGAACGGCTAGGGCAGTTACCATTTCGTGAGTGCTGTCTAGGAGGGCAGATGGGAACGGCCTGGGGGAGCAGAGGGGTGCGAGTGCGTTGGCCGGGCAGGATGGCAGGCCCTAGGGCCAGGGGCCCCGGAGAGCCAGGCTTCTCCTCCGTCTCTGCCACTGGCAGGAGAGAGCAAGGTAAGGTCTTCTAAACGTGGGACCCTGGCCATCAGGCTTCACGCCAAGAAGGCCAAGAATGCCCCGAGAGAGGCTGATCACAGGGACTGGGCGGCTCGTTTGTGAAATGGGGGCCCCTCCCCACGCCCTGCCAACTTTTCTGGGATTTTGTGGGGCGCAAAAGGGGTGGTTAGGTAACACCTCGGTGTCCTTAAAAGCCTGGTGCAAATACAAGGCATTTCTGTCTCCCCACTGTCCACAGCCGGATGGCTCGGCCACCTCCCCGAAGGCCCAGCGGGCAGTACAGGACGCAGGAGCAAAGGCCGAAGCGGACGCTGCCACACGGGGCAGAGGGGTGTGAGTGCGTTGGGGGATCAACGTGCTTTCGGGGGATCGGAAGGCAGCCTGCCGCTGGCGTGCGCTCGGTGAACCAGAGAAGGAGCTGCTGAGCTACTTAAGCTTATTCTGGAGGCAGCTCGTCCCAGTGGGAAACGGCCACCAGCACGGTAGCACCGGCAGTGCCCTGCGGCAGAGGCCCCCATGCCGGCGCCTTCGCTTTTGAGGTGATGCTTCCCCGCCCTCGCCCCTCACCCCTGCCTCCACACAGCCTGGTGGATGCCACACTAGGCCGAACGGGAGCCGGAGACACAGTGGGCACCTGTGGGAGCCGCCCCTCTCCACTCTCAGACTGGGGGTGGGGGGGTGGGGGGTGTTCTTGTCCTCGATCACTGTCCCAAGCAGGACGCCCGCATCTGAAGCAACTGCTCTGTGACGATGCACAGAAATCGCAGGTGCTGCTGCTGAGGGGTGGGGGCTTTTGTGCTCCGATGACAGAGATCAGCACACGGACCTCCTGCCTGCTCCAGGAAAGGAGTGGCAGGCCGGCGGGGGGCAGGAGGAGGCAAGGCCAAGGGGCCCCGATGGCAGGTATAAAAACTGATGAAAGCTGCCACCCTGGAACGGCAGAAACGCTTTAAGTCACTTTGTATATCGCTCTGTGTTTTTCAAACCTCGAACGTCTCAAAAAAGTAAGATAAAGTAAAAAAAGCCAGAAATGACCTTGCCAGCTTATTAAGGAAACAAAACATTAAGGCACAGCTTTCTTAAGGCAGAGGTTTAAAACGTAGCCAGAACACAAGGTCAGGCAAGTGCAAGTGACTGTCCCCGCAGCAGCTTTCCTATGGTCCCGTGCCCAGCAGGGCGATCTCAAATTACTCTGCCCCTGAAAAATGGAGGCCTTGGAGTATGAGCAGGGCTGCTGAGCTATGGTTGCTATGGGAATGGCCCCAAACTTTAAATCTTACAGAAACAGATAAACTGAGACAGAAGATCTATGGCTCCCCTGCCAAACCGCCCCGGCACTCGCTTCCTCGGGGACGTCTCCTCGGATCTCGGTGGAAACTGTTCTTGCTGCCTCGTCTAAACCTTCCACCTGCTAAATGTCCACCTGCTAAATGTGGCTCGATGTCGGCCAGCACTGCCCTGCCGAGCTCCAGGGAGTCCTACTTGCCTTCCTGTCGTTCAAGGCTGGGCTGCGGGCCGGACACCTGCTCTAAGGCCTGAGTGTGCTGCTCTGAGATCCAAGCAAGTCATTCCCCTTTTCAGTGGCCAACCTCCACAGGAAATCGGCACGGCCCCCGTGACCCAGATGGGGAGGCACAGGGGGAAATTCTGAGTTAGTGGCAGCAAAGGAACAAGTGAAAGCTGACGGGCACAAGAGAAGCTGGTCAAGGAAACTTCCAACGGCACGGGGCTGGCATGGTGGGCGTCAGGAGAGCCACGCGTACCTTCTTCTTGATCCCATCCTGAATAACCGTAGTCCGGTACAGTCTCAAGAGACCTTCCTCGGACAGGTTTCGCACCAAGCGGACGATGGACTTCTTACAGCACTTGGTAGACACGCCTTCTTGCTTCTCCTGATCCATGATCATTTTCTGAATCCTGGGGTGTCACAAAATAAGAAGTTAATATTCCCAATCCCAGCAAGGAAGATCTGTTTCAACCCCCTTTCAACCCAGGCAGCTGAGAGCCTGCCTAGTGGTAACCAGCAGAAACTCGGGGAGAGTCAGAGGGGGGTTTCGCCATCAAAGGGCTGACTTCTGGACACGTTACAGTCAACGCTTTTAGCGATAAATGAGTTAGCTAAAGATGAGCCGCCAAGCACAGCAGCGTCACATTCTGAGCCTTTCACCAGAACCTGACGATGACGGCAGGGACACTAAGCGCCACGACAGAGATGTCTTCATCCGTCTTTGGGTTAATTTAAGGCCCGAAGGATTGTCTAATGTACTGTCGCCGACACTCTCAGGTCCGCAGCTCTTTCTGATTCCTCTCCTCAGACATCTTACTGAGTCACTACAGGGATGTTTCTAGCTCACCCACCGATCATCGAATGGCAGGGCCGGAAGGACATTCAGACGCCCAGCCAAACCCCTCACTGCACAGACGAGGCCACAGTGTCTGCACACGGTCTCCCCATTCCCTAGAGAACGAGTGGCTTTGACGCCGAGTGCCTCAGAAGCCTGAAGATGCCGCCCAGGAGGCAGCGGTGATGGTGGGTTAAAGGACCCCACCAGAGCGCAGAGCCTCTCCGTGAATAGAGCCACCGCAAACACACAGGTTCCACCCGCGTCTCTTTGTTTTTGCTTCCATGTAAGATTGCATTTGAACAAAAGGCCCCATGCTGACCTAAGAAAAGTTCGTAAGCTGATGCTGTTATCTCAGTCCCTCCTCCAAGGAGAGAGGAACTCTCCCCAACTTCCACTTCTAGCTCAGTCACTCTCTCCCCATCTAGCGTCTCGCTGTTCTGCAATGCCTACACTTTCCAAACCACTAGAACAGATGCTGAATCCTTTCTACCAGACAGGGATGCCACGAGAGTCTATAGAGCAGAAGACGCCAATGCCTCTCGGTCATTTCTGTGGCTTGTGACAACGAGCTGGCCTGAGATTTACTGTCAGTGCAAGACAGACAGACAGACAGACAGACAGACAGACAGCTCCTTACGTGAACAAGCTCTCAATTAAGCGTAGGTTGGTGACGGCTTCTATGATCAGGTTCCTGCGTTTGAGCAGCCGGTAGGTTTCGTGGGGTTTGTCTTGGCCCGGGCCGTGCTTCCCCGTCTTTTGGGAACTGCCACTCTCCTAGAGCGAGGACCGAGAGGACAAACATACAACAGGTTTGGCAAGGTTAGGGGGCCAGACGCCATTCCTGTGGGTGCGCTTTGCCTCACGAGGGAATTTCTATGCCCATGTTTCAAGAAGGAAAGTCAAGAGGGCTTGTTTCTCTGGGAATATGGGACGGAAGCAGAGGCAGGCTTCCAGGACCAGGCTGTCCCTAGGTAAGTCAGGATGTGTGCCCAACGACAGACGAAGGGAGAAGACAGATCCGTGTTCTGTCTCCCATTCCTGCCAAAGCTTCCATGAACTTGTGCCATCTGCCCTAGGATCAAATCTGTGAAGCCCCAGTGTCCCTGAAGGGAAAGGAAATCCTGACTCTAACATACTCCTTGCGGATCACTCAGCACAAACGAACCCCCGTGGCGGCCCGGGGCCTGTTTTGCCAGATGCGCTCCTCACTTGCAGAGACGCTTCAGGAGAACGAGAATGTCCCGCTGTCAGGACCACCGGCTCCAGATCACTTCCCAGCTGAGTGCCGGGGCTTCGGGAGAGGAACGGTTCTTTCCTGAAGGGGGACCGGCTCAAAAGGGCTCAAGATTCAAGAGGGGGCCCGGGAGAAAGACCTTTGTGCTCCCCTGCACTGCAGAGCAAACATTTTGGGGGTGGGGGGAGGGGACCTATGAGTAAACTGGCCACGTGCTGTGGGGCCGCTGGAGAGCATGGTGAAGAACACGCTTTGCCAATGGCCCTCCAGATACATCGCTCGTGCCCTCTTCTCAGCACGGATGTAGAAAGGACAGCATTCTGCCGTTACTCTGGGAACAGATTTCTGGGAGGAAGAGAAAGAGCTGAGCTGGGCAGCAAGCGAAGGAATTCTGGGACCCGGCAGGAGCACGCTACCGGAGACGTGAGCCGGATCAGAAGGTGCAGCAGGGGCGAGGGTGTGAGCAATGCAGACAGACCCTCCAGAACCTGCTGGGATCCACCTGCTGGCAGGCCCAGCTTCTTCAGTTCGACACAGACCCAACCAGGACTTGAGAAGTTATGGCGCCCAGAGCCTCGGAAAGGGCTGAAAGGTTCTAGAACAACCCACGGAAAACATTCGCACCCTGCGCCCCATCGCTTCTGCCGCGGGGGTGGTACCAAAGCGCAGGTGTCCACACCAGGAAGGGAGCAGCACGGGGGGAGCCCCGCGCACATGGTTTCCAGTCCTCACTGTGTCATTCGCCGAGCAGGTGCAAGTCACTTGATCCCGGGGGGCCTGCACTGTCTCGTCCCAGCCCAGAGACAACGCTTCTCTCTCAGGGGTGTCCGGAGGCCTCAGAGAGAGCAGCAACAGCCCCTACGGCCGCCTGGTCACAGCTGTGCACTGTGCTGGGGGCCCCGTCCTCTGCCGGGGCGCTTCCGAAGCCCAGAGCCCAGGCGGTGCCGCTGGCAGCATCTGAGGCACGTTTGAGTGACAAAGGACGGCACAAGGTGCCCCGAATCGCATCATGAGAACGGCGGGCCCGTGTCAACTGCCTTTCTAATCCCTCTAATTACGCGAACGAAAAGCATTGGGTTCTATCGCATCTCTGACGCTGGCACACAACAGTGTTTGGCCAGCACGCGCTAAGCAGTTTTGGCTTTCTTTTTATCTATTTTAGAATTAGCTTCCTTTTATGGCAAAGGACGTTGGCCTTTCATGGAAGGCAGGGCTTCTCAACACTGGCACTGCTGACATTTGGGGCTGGACAATTCTCTCTCGTGGGCTCTCCTGCAGGTTCTAGGATACGTCTCCGCCAGCCACGGCCAGACGTCCCCCGGGGGCCCAAATCGCCGAGAGTGGGAACCACTAATCTAAACGAACGTTCCCTCCAAAATAAGTTTTACGTGAAGAAAGCAAGTCGTTGGAGATTAAAACACCGTGTCAACAGCGGTGCGGGTGCTTTCTGGTTGGGCAAAAAGGCGGTGTATAAACGAGCACCGTGTTACTTCCTGGGCAGGACTAGCCCACCGCCTGGCACAAAGCGAGCACTCAGCGTGCAGCGCTTTTCCTGTTACTGATTTTGTTGTTGCTGAGACTTTTTTTAATGTCTATTTATTTATTTTTGAGAGAGAAACAGAGAGAGAGCAAGCGAGAGAGCGTGAAGAAGGGGCAGAGAGAGACAGAGAGAGACGGAGAATCCCAAGCAGGCTCTGCACTGCCGGCACAGAGGCTGATGTGGGGCTCGATCCCATGAACCATGACATCATGACCTGAGCTGAAACCAAGAGCTGGATGCTTAATGGACTGAGTCACGCAGGTGTCCCTGCTGTGATTCTCAAACACGGGACCGAGAAGGCCAAGGTCCACCCGCCACAGGCCCCTGCTGGACAAAAGGCATCCCCACTGTGAGCCCTCACCTTCGGGTTTTCAAGCCTGACCTCTTCGATCACGGTCATGTCGCCACTGTTACTCTCCATGCAGTGGGAGCCAAAGGGCGCACCGGGGTACAAGGAGGCGCTGGTGTCCAGGAGGCTGTCCCCGCCCGCAGAGCTCTGGCAGGCCTTCTCCTCGGCCACCGCTAGGGAGGAGGGCAGCTGCTTCTTCAGTGGGTGGAGGTTTACCTTCCAGCCACCTGCAGTGGAGGGGGCGGGAGAGGCATGAATGAACGGTGGCCATACGGAGGGACGGAGAAAGGGGCACTTACGCTCGCCCAGACAAGGCCCACGCAGGCCGACGATTCCTTCTGGTTGGTTTGAGGATGGGGGGAGGACCCAGCGAGCAGCGGCGCCGCCCCTCCCCACCCCCCGCCACCACCCCGCGCTTAGCTGGATACCAGACTCGCAAGCTTGTCTTCGTCTCCACCCTCCGCATGTTTAAAAAAGTCTGTAACTAAACTAAAAACTCGAGGGCCCTCAGATCGCTGGAGAGAAGGGGACAGAGGAAGTTTACTGGATTCCATCCCTTGAATGGTAAAGACACCACAAGACAAACCGAGTATCTGCCAAGGGGAACTGCCTTGCCAGCAGCCAGGGGACAGACCACGTGACCATCTCCTCTAGACACAGGGTCATGTGACCGTGTCCCCAGTCAGGACAGCACCAAGGGCGCCCTCAGGTGCTAAGTGAACGGGCTGTTCTCTGAAGACCCCCGGAGCAAGGGAGGATTGGCAGCAGCTCAGACCGAGGCCCCTCCCCGCGGCCCGAGAGCACCCCGTACCCTTCGCTGGGGTGGAGTGATGAGGCTGGGTCCCGAGACCGGCGCCGAAGCAGGCTCTCCCGTCGCCCTGGGACACTCTGCCTTTCCTCTTGCTGCTGCTGCCGCGCTCCTCTTCGCTGTCTGAGTCGGAGAGGAAGCTGTCCTCCACCTCGGGCAGGAGGGACTCCTCCTGCACCGAGGCCAAGCTCACTGTGGTCAGCAGCTTGCTTCGGGCCTTCTCTCTCTTGTACTGCCGGCTGAGATCGCTCTCTTCTGCAAATACGCACGAGATGTACTTGGTGGTCCGCTGCCGGCCCTCGTCCTCCATGAAACCCTGGTGGGGAGGAGACGGGTTGAATCTCATCTGGGGGGCGCTGCCATACTCGGGCACACGGGAGAGCGGGGGGCTGCGGTATCTATCTCCTGATCCTTCCCGCACCTCCCCTGTCACCACCCAGGCCCCACGTCCGCCCAGCTGACGCTCCGTTGCCGTCTGCCTGTCTGGCCGTCCCTCAGGTGCCATTTCCACAGGCCTGTCGGAGACGGGTTTTCAAACCGCAGCCCTGAATGTGTGTCTGCTCTACGGGACCGTGAACTCCTTGAGGGCGGGGCCCTACCTTGGCCCTCCCCATCTCCCCGGTGCCTGGCACCAGACTGGGCCCACAGGAAATGGTTAGCGAGCAGTGAGCGTTGGCTACGCAGAATTTGAGGGCTCAGAACCGCTGTCACAGACTGGAGATTGCCAGCCCCATGCAGTCCCTGCCTCTGGGACGGAGGATGAGGTCATCACCAACCCACACTCACCCGTATCTTCAGGACGGGGGAAAGGGGCTCTCCTGGGCCCTTAACGGCCGGAAAAGCAACATCTTCTACATGCCAACCACATGCCAAGGGCCATACTAAATGCTCTGCAATCATGAGCTCGACTGCCTTCCAACAAAATGGTCACATTGTTGGCAAGAAGAGAGTGAAGGATAAGGCCTGGAGGGCAGGTGTGAATTCCAAAAGGGGACCAGCAGACACGTATGTCCCCAGGAGCCAGGAGAGTGACAAGAGAGAGGGAGGCCTGAGTGGGGGCTGGGGCCCCTGGACAGCACCCGCCCTGTCTGAAAGGGCAGTGGGGGGCTAGCCAGCTTCCTGGGAGTCCCTGCGCGGCTGTGCTCCCCACGGGGTCACCTCTTCTACTGACTTATCAGTGCTGAAGGTTCATCCGGTTTTTAACAAGTGAAAGCCAACAGAAACCAAGTCAGGGGGTTGGGAGACACGCCACGCCCCCGGGCAGCCCCTGGTGGCAGAGACGCAGGCGATGCGTCCTCGGCCCGGCTGAGTCGGCCCCTCACTGTCACACCGTGCGCACGCCCGAAGACAATGAAGTGTGCGGATGGCTCACGATGTTACCTTGACAACCTTAAATCTCTGAAGAAGACGACACAGCATTCTCGCCTCCAGCTTTCCCACGTTCATAGCCGCTCGGATTTCAGCTTGGGAAATTCCTTTCGTGCCTCTGCGCTCAACTGCAGGGAAGGACAGGACGTGTGAACCGCAGCCTCGTGCCCGAGGCCAGTCCGCTCCCACCACCCCAGTTCAGCACAGAGCGGTCAGCACAGCAGAGCCCACGGGCAGAATAAACCCTGTGTCTCCTCTCGACCTCGCCTCCCCGGCACCTCTGAGCGCCAGCCGCTTCCAACAGCTAACGTTTCAGTGCCACCGGGCTCCCCCGCGTTAGGATAGCACGTGGCCAGCGGCC